TTTAGTCCATTTACCTCACTTATTGGGAAGCTGCTGGTATTTGTTGAAAGCAGCATGTTTATTTTTCCTGTTGATTTAGGGCAGGCCTGACACTTAACTGACTCATGAAGAAACAACGGGAACTAAATAATGGGCCTGTATTCTTCAAGAAAGTCAGTCTTGAAAGACAAAGAAAGGCTAAAGAACTGTTTCAGATTGAAAGAAACTCAAGAGACATGACAAATACATGAAATATGATTCTAGACTAGGAAAAAAATGTTTTTATAAAGGACAATATCAGGAAAATTAGTGAAATTTAAATATGGACTGTATATTTAGATAATAGCATTGTGTAAATATTTAATTTCCTAAGTTTTATGATTGTGTTGTGGTTAGATCTAGGAGATGCATGTAAGGTCAGACCAAGGCACCGTTGAGATCACTGAGGCAGACAAAGTCTAAGAACATGCTATGAGTTTATTGCTATCTGGATGCAGTGGGGCCAAAGGCAAAAAAACTGTTGGCACCGAGAAGAGAGTGTGTGTAATTGCTATAGGAAAGTTTAGGTAGGGGAGGGAGCACAGGTGGGTCAAGGGCAAAAAGACTGTTGGCACTGAGAGGAGGGTATGTGCAGTTACTATAGGGGAGTTTAGATGGGCAGGGGGCACTGGTTGAGAGGGTGGAAAATTTTAGTTTCCTGACTCCTCAGGAGTTGACAACACGTGGAGATCGAAAGTGAATTATTACTATCATGTGTTCCTTTTTGGAGTTAAACTTTCCCAGAAGATCTCCAACCAAATTCCCTTTATAGCTCATTGGCAGAATGGACAAGGGAAATGGTAATTATCATGGTTGATTTAGACTAATCAGGAGCCCCCCCCTTTCAGGCTGAGGAAGTGTTCAGCCTTTCATAGATGTTTCATAGATAATGAAACAAACAGATTTTCCATTAGGATGGAATGGTATTGGGTATAGTGTCACATTACTTGGTCAGCTGGTGTTGGTAATGCTAAATAGTTACATGCCTGGTAAATTATCCTTTAGGAAAATAAAATATGTGTACAAAACAAATGCCAGAATGTCCATAAAGAATATGTGGGTTGCCAGATGCCCATAAAAAAGAGAATACATAAATAAATTAGGGTATATTCATTTGAAGGAATACTACATATCAAAAAAAGGGATAACAACATGGATAAGTTTTATTTTATTTTTGAGTTTTTAAAATGTGTTTATTAAAGAATGTCCTTAGGTAGGCAACCACTTTTGATTTGTCATTAAAACCAAGTTATGTTTCTTCAAGCTTTATAGAAAAGATAATGTAAGAGAATAGAATTATAAGCATTTTTTCTGTTGGAATTCTCTGATAGTATAGTGTAGTGTAATCCTTTCTGCAATACTAGAAAACATTTCTTCTATGCTTTTCTTCAGAAAGTGATGAATAACAGCAGAAGATGTCATCAAAAAGCTATTTTTTTTCCTATTCCTTCTGTGTATTGGAGCCAGTATTTTTCCCCTCACAGGCTACAAATTTCACTTTATCCACTTTAATAAATTCTTCTTCCTCTCTGAATTCATCATCATTCAGTACAAAAGCCCACACATTATCACAGAATCTGTAGTATTTAGAAAGCCCCGTATGAGCTCATCTAGGCTTTCCTGAAGACTGTTTCTCAAAGTGGTATTTTGTTATAACTGGATAGGCCATGGTGTAGGGGAAATAAATTGCTTATTTTTTCAAGCTTGCGTTGATGCCCATTCCCTAAGGGAGGCAGAGCGGAGCCTCTCTGGCTACTGTGGAAACAGCAAAGCAGAACATGATAAATTTTAAAAACATTTTCTTAAGTTGAAGTGACAAGACACAAAGAGTGCACGTTGTATACCATTTACATGAAGTCCAAAAACAGGCAAAGCTATCTGTCATGGGTAGAATGGTTTCTTCACTCTGATGGCACCAGGAGGTAGGCATTTGGGGAGGTAAATCATGAGGGCTCTGTCATGTTGAATGAGACTAATGTCTTTAGAAAAGATGCTGACGAGGATTGCCTGATCCTTCGCCCTGCGAGGACTGTGTTTATCCCTTTTACCTTGTGAGGATACAGCAGCAAGTTTCCATTCTTGCAGGCAGTTATGGAATCTGAGTCCTACAATGATGAGAAATTTCTATTATTTATAAATTAGCTAGTCTAAGGTATTTTGTTATAGCAGTGGACTATATATTGGGTGGAATAAGACACCCAATGATGGAAGTGAGAAAGTGATTCATTCTGGGGTAACGGAGAACTGAGAGAACTTTCTAGGGATGGTAGAAATATTCCATTTTATTTGGGAAAGAAGCTACATGGGTATACAAAATTGTTAAGACTAACTAAAAATGGGGGCCAGGGATTTAGCTCAGTGGCACTGTGCCTGCTTTGCAAGTGCAAGAACCTGAGTTTGATCCCTGGTACTGAAAAAAAACCCCCTCAAAAATGAACTAAACAGTTATGGTCTTTGCATTTTATTCAATCTTAATTATAACACTATGAAAAAAACAGATCTTATATGCCCCCTGAATGGATTACACAACATTCACCTACAAAATATTTCCAAAAATGTTAGACTTGAGCCTGATAAACTGCCTAGGTCTAAGCATCAATTTATAGGACATACAGGGAAAAAAAAACTTGTTTAATGATATTCTGGCATTGTGTTCAGTGAAACTCATGCTGTGGGGAATTTTGGTGTTGCAGCTTAGGTAAGCAGCCTCTCTCTGGCTGTCCACTAGTGGTGCTACTTCAGATGGGGAGAGGAGTCCATGGGACACATTCACCAAGAATGTCTCCCATTCTTGACCATGTTCTGGATACCTGGAACCTGAATTTCCAAGTTTATACAACCTTGTGCCTGTTTCCAGGACCTTCATGGTCCCAGTCCTAAGTTTGTCCTCCCAACAGTGGAGTGTGTGACCAGCTGAGGCTGTTTGAAGAGATTGTAGATGGAGCTTGGACATGTAGGTAATGGTATCCTTGAAACTGAGGTGGAGCCAGGGTGGGGAGGAGGATTGTTGACATGCTGTGGACCGGGGCCAGATTCCTGTGGGGCCACAGTCAAGTGAGGAACTCTAAGTAGACTGAGAGTTATAAATTTAAATTTGGCCTTCCATGTCATTAAGGGTGTATTTGCCAAGGTAGGAGTATAGGACATAGTTAACTGTAGCCTGAGTTAAGACTTTAAATATTTAGGTATATGGTATTTGGATTTCCACTTGTATCATTGCTCAGGCTATAGATGTTAGAGTCAGACTTACTCCTAAACGCCTAAAGTTTAGAAGAAACAACTGAATAACTTCCTCCAATTAATTATAAGGAAAAAAGAGCAAGAGAATCTAGAGATTGAAAAAAGTAAATGAACAAATTTCAATGTACGAATCTCAACCTAACTGTAAAATAATTTAAAAGACAATTAGGAGAATCAAGGAAGGAGATTAGGGCAATATAGGCTGGCTGGAAAATAGGATGTAATTTGTCAGTCATGAAGAACATGAAAGAAGGCTAAACAACACAGTGTAACCTGTCAATTACAAATAACATGAACAGTCTGGGTAATCAGGTGCGATGTGGCAATCACAGATGAGATACTTGCACAGAACATCTTCCAAGGCACCAGATCTGAGAAAACATAAAAGGCAGCAGCCATTTTGATGTCTTTATGCCATGGTGATCTTCCTGTTCTGCTGTCCTCCTGTTTCTGCAGTGGCCTGACCTGGTTGCAGGATGTATCTCTTCTTGCTCTTCTCCTTTTTTATTATTTCCTTTTCCTTCTTTACTTTTAGTAAAAGTTGTGTTTACCTGTTCATTTGTTGTTCCAGCCACTCTTTTTTTTTTTTTTGGTACTGGGGGTTGAACTCCGGACCTTGAGCTTGCAAGGCAGGAGGCGGTACCACTGAGCTAAATCCCCAGTCCCCAGCCACTCTTTGGGAGGGACACAAAGAGCCTGGAACCATCGGACACTGCGTCAACCTTCAACAGAATCAGAACACTGACCAGATATAATTGATTTTATTAGGGAATTAAGATTTTTAAGGAATGATAATGGTACAGAGATTGTGTTTAAAAAACACCCTTATATTTTGTAGGAGTACATATTAAGCTACAGAAAATGTCCTGGATTTGCTTAAAATATTAGGGTTGAGGAGGAAGTGGGTAGGAACATGAAATACAATTGCCAAGTTGAAGCTATGTAGAATATGGATCTTCATACTATTATCTCACATTGTATAAGCTTGAAATTCACTTGAAATCCACCACAGAATTCCTTTATTAACATTTTGATAAATGCTTCTTCTGTGTACAGTATACCCCTGCAAAGTTGAGATTCAGAGTTCATGGCCTTGGTTGTTCATGGATTTTTCCTTAGAACCTAACTAGTAATTTTTTGTTTGTTTGTTTTGAGACTGGGTCTCACTTTGTAACTCAGGCTGGCCCTGCCTGAACTTACTGTTGTAGCCCAGGCTGACCTTGAACTCGTGGTGATCCTTTTGCCTCAGCCTCCCAAGTGCTGGGATTACAGGTGTGCACCACTATGCCCGGCTCTTCTAATAATTGTTCACCGAAACCCATGCAACTTCGTGGAACTGCAAATATCCTCTGCAATTGCTTTTTTTTGGAAGGAGGTTTGTAAGGCTTTGCTTTTAGTTAATAGGCGTGTCAAATCCCATTTGTGGCACCCCTCTGGCAAGTACACAGGAACTTTTGGCATGAATTGTTGGGAGTATTAATATTAATTAATACCTCTGGCTTTATTTTGTTTTCTAATTATTTTTTGTCTGCACTTTCTCCTTCAATCATTTCCTGCTATTATAGTGTATATCCTTTTCTAAGCACATTCAATCTTTTGTGAGAGATGTGGGACATGAGTGAGTAATACAAATCCATAAAATATATTTATCTTTTGTTTGGTTGGATTTTTGAGATAAGATCTCTCTTTGTAGTCCAGGTTGGCCTCCAAATTGTGGCGATTCTCCTGCCTCCGCTGGAGCGCTGGCATTTTCTGGTGTGCACCACCACACCTGGCTGAAAACATATTTTAAAAAATAGTTCATAAAGTTTGTTAAAGCTGCTTATTTCCTTCCATTTCTTGAAAGGAGCAAGGAGAGCCTTTATTTACTTCAAGGCAGTGCACATTTCCCCAGCTTCCTACTCTACTTAGAACCTTATCTACATCTCTAACATTTTATTTGCTCTATCAGATATATTTGTCACATAGAGTATGGATAAATAAAATGCAGAAGAGTTAAGAAAAGAAGCCATGTGGGAGAAACCAGTCTACCCACTGCTTTCATAACCCATTTTTTCCTCACATATCACTGTATTTCACAAATATTTCCTTATCATTAGTTTTCTATATAATAATTTTTGAAGGATCAAAATGGTGTGTACCAGGGAGGTCAGTAAGACTGGGCCTCTATATTCCCTTCCTAGAAAAATTGAAGACACACTTTCTTGGTTACCTGTACATAATACATTATTATTATCGTTTTTTCCCATTTCCTTCCTGTCGCGAGCCGGCGACGCAGAGCACTGTCCAGCAGTGCCTCAAACCTGAAAGAGCAGCGGGGTGGAGATGGGGCAGAGAGAAAGGAAGGACGCCAAGACAAGAGTCTGATCAAGGCGGCGTTTATTGCCGGCAAGCACCGGCCTTTTAAAGCAAAAAACCACAAACTATTATGGGATGGGTTTACCATAGTAACTGAAAGGTCACACAGGAAAAGAACAAACAGGTTCACCAAAACAATCCACCGTGAGTAGTAGTAACCCGGACAACCACACATCTAAAGGTCAGAGACAAGAAACTGTAACTTTCAGGAATTCCACAAAGGAAACACTCTACCTGCTAAACTGGACAAATTTAACACATATAGAGTTACTAAAGTTAACAATACTTACAACCAATACTCATGATCCCCACATCTTCCCTCCCTTTAACCCTCTTCGCTTTATTTACAAAAGCTTTATTTCCATTTTTTCCCTTTTCTCTCCCCCCCCCACCTTGTTCCCTTTCCCATTTGAACATTTTCTTCATACTTTCCAATATATATCATCCACTTTGGTCCTTATTTACCCTTTGGGGTTCTCACACAAGAGAACCTGGCAACCTCAAGTTCCCGAGTTGGATCCCCCGTACAAAAACAAAAAAACCAAACCAAAACAAAAAAAGCTTTATGAGCCCCTACACAAATCTCCAAAGCCCTGTGAGCACCTCCGCCTTTCGGGCTAAGGACTCCAAAGTGCTGCTCACCGGCTTTTGCTTCCGTTGCCGTGGTAACAGACAACATAAATTCGGCCTCCGTAACTGTTCCCAGAATGCCGCGCGCCTTCACTCACTTCCAAGTTCCAACTCCTTCCGGAGACCCGTGTCACCTGGTTTCCCGAGGGTTGCCTGCACGATGTTAAAAAGGTCAGACTTGAGCATATTTTGGGCGAGGTCAATAAGGAATGTTTGCCCCCTCCCAACTTTGCAAGCAATTAGAAGGCCAAGGAAAAGTTATAATCTCACGGAATTTTTGTTAATCCTCGATTAATAGATTAGATGTTATTAGAAAAATGGAAAGATGGTGTATATTTAAAGTAACGAGTTAACCATTCTACATTTATATATATTTAAAACATGTTGTAGATCATAAATATATATATTTTATTTGTAAAAAAAAAAAGAATTTAAAGTTAAAAAGCAGATCCCAGAGTGGTGATGTACAGCCGTAATCCCCCGACTCGGGAGGCTGAGGCAGGAGGATCACTGTGAGTTCCAGGTCAGCCTGGGCTACATAGTGAGTTCAAGAACAGCTTGAACTACATAGCAAGACAACAATAGAAGTTAAAAAGCTGCAAGGTGGTAAACCTTAATATGCATCTTCATTTGTTAAAGAAATAGTTAAATAACTTTAACCTATTTACTATAAAAGTAATTATGTTTGCTTTACAAAATGTTGGCAAGGAAAAAAATGAAACAACACAAAATCCCCAAATCCCATCCACTCAGTGACAACCATGGTGAACACTTTGGTGGATTCTTCTAGACTCTGTTTGCATAGAGTAAAAAAAAAAAAAAATCAAAAGAGAATTGCGGCTCTCTGGGGGGACCCCGTCCAGCGGGGAATAGGAGGTGAGAGCCGCCTCTTATTCGTGGGTCATCAGAGGCCGATCTGATCTTGAATGTCTGTGAAGGAAATCTTTAAGAAGTTAGAGCACACGGCCCAAGTCTGGTTTCTGATCAAAGGCACTTTATTGGCTCAGCAAAACGATTATATACTGTTATCCCAGGGGGAAGGTTCAGCAAGCTTATTGGACAGTTCAAACAAATCCTCTACCAATCACATGAGTCATTCAAGCATTTAACCATAAAGGGACAAAGCACTTAGCAGCATACAGCAATCAGTATTTTACCAAATGTGGGGAGGGGTAAGTGGGAAGGCGTACATCAACAGTTAACCCTATGCGATCTTTAACTTCACAATCTCTAGGGGCAAGCAGGACAAGGAAATACCACCTGCTTCCTGCTCCAGATCCCGTGACCCTGTGGTTAGCACAAAGGGCTATTCTTTCTGTAAGATTTCCTGTTTGCCCAGGGGCTAGACCTGCCAAAAGTCACGCATGTAGTCTAGTGGGATTTTTCCACTGAGGCAAAGGCTAAGGTTGAGGGCAGCCATCTTGTGCAGGCCCAAGCAGTCTCTCACAGAGAATCACACTGCATATACTGTTTTACAATTAAAAAACTTTAAATTAATGTATTTCATTAAAAAAGACACTATGGTTGCATGTATTTCATTATACCTCTTACTGGACATTTAAACTGTTTTTGTTCTTTTTGCTTTTTTAAAAAATTAATTTTATTGGTACATTCTAGGTATACAATATAATGACATCCATCATTGGGATTTGTACTTTTACAAAATACATTATGAAAATTTGGAAGAGTATAATAAAAATTCCGATACCTAGATGACCACTGATAGTTTGGTATATATTTTCTTTCTATGTTCCTATAACAATGAGTGTTGAACTGAGATTCCACCTCACCCCACAAAGAATGGCTGCTATCAAGAAATCACACAATAACAAATGTTGGCGGAGTTGTGGGGAGAAAGGAACCCTTCTCCATTGTTGGTGGGAGTGCAGACTGGTGCAACCACTATGGAAATCAATATGGAGATACCTCAAAAAGCTTGGACTGGAGGTTCCATTTGACCCAACCATCCCTCTGCTGGGTATCTTTCCAAAAGAACTAAAAGAATCATATCACAGAGAAGTATGTACACCCATGTTTATAGCGGCACAGTTTGTAATAGCTAAATCTTGGAAACAGCCCATTTGCCCATCCGTTGGAAACTGGATAAAGAAGATGTGGTTTTTCTATAAAATTGAATATTACTCAGCCATAAAGAATGAGAAAATAGATTCATTCATAGGAAAATGGATACATATTGAAGATATACTCCTAAGTGAAATAAATAAATCACACATGTGTAAATACTGAATAGTTTCCCTGGTGTGAATAATCTGCAATAATACATAAGATCCTAATAAGATTACTGACATTTAGAAATGGGAAGAAAGGAGCTAAAGGTGTAGGGAAGGTGGGATGGGTAGGGGAAGGGTAATAAGGGAAAAGAAAAAAATGTGAGAGAATGAAAAGATGAAAATAAAGTGTTTGTAGATGGGGAGGTGAGGAGGGGTTGAAGGGAGGGCAGGGGTAAGGGGAAAAAATGAGAATCAAGACTTGTCATGTAGAGGTACAAGATCCCAACAATGAATGTAACTGTACTGTATCCCTAAAATGTACCAATAAACTCAATTAAAGCTGAAAAACAAAACAAAACAAAAAAACAGTGAGTGTTGAGGAAGTGTTTGCTAATTTTTTTTTTGTGTGTGTGTGTGTTTGCTAATTTGGCAGGGAAATAAATACTGCATATTTTAATTTGCACATTTTTGCTTATTCATATAGTTGAATAATATTTCAAATACTATTTCAAATTTTCACAGGTTTTGGTCTGTTTTAGGCCTTACTTTCTCTAGTTTTCTTTCAGTATTGCAAACCAATCATACTGAACTGGAATAGCTTAGTTTTGTACATGTGTAGGTTTTAATTCTTTGAGCTATGCTGAAAGCTGGTCTTGGATAAATTGTTTAGTTTTGCTGAGCCCACTCTCCTTAGGTAATGAGGGACAATTCTATTTGTTTTTTAGGGTTGTAGTAAGGACTAGAAATAATTTATTCAGGGTCAGGGATTTAGCTCAGTGTTGCCATTGCCTGCACAAAGTCCCAAGTTCAATCCCTGGTACCCCCCCCAAAAAAAAGAAAAAGAAATGTATTCAAGGTGAATTCAATAAAATAGCTACTTTTTAATTCATAGCTTTAGCAGACTCTGTGCATAGGTGTTTATATGATTACATTAAAAAGGAATGAGTACTCAGCATCCCACTCAGATATTTACTGAACACCTGATATAAACCGCTGTTCATAATTTTCAAGGCCTCATGTGCCTATATTATTGAGGTATGTTTTGTATGTAAACCATACGTTCAGTTTCAGTGCAATTCCTCTCCGCTAGAGGTTTGAACCAGGGCCTGGCATGTTAGGCAAAGTGCTCTGTTACCAAGCTACACTCTCCGCCCAGTTTCCAAGAAGCTCATTTATTTGTCCCTTTCCTCATATTCTACACTCTGCCTGGCCCATTATAGTAGGCACTGAATAAATGTGTGAACTGAGTCGAGTAATTTACCGAGAAAAGAAAAACACACAATTAGAGAAAACCTGGCAGGCTGTGATAAAAGCAGTATCCAGTACAAAGAAGTTTGTACTTTGAGAGACCAAGAGACATTAACATTAAGGGCGCTGGTAATGCCGCAGTCTGAGGCACTAAGGAAAAGGGCTTAAAGGCAGTAGTAACAGGAACAGCTAAGGCTTGGAGGTAGAAGTAAGCAGAGTGAGTTTTGTTAACAGGTATTTGGCAAGAGGATGGATAAATGGGTTCAGATGAGATAGAAAAAAAGTACCATAGTTGGGTCCCACATTCTGAGGATTTTGATTCTTTATAGTTTTTGAACTTTCCTGAAAAACATCTCTTTTAGTATGGTCTGGGGCATCCCTAAGTAGAATAGGCCAGAGGGACGGCAGGGGTCAGGAAAACGTGTGGGCCAACCATGGTAACTGTCCTGACCGTGGGGAAGGCAGGGAGTGGGGGCTGGCAGAGACCTTCAGCGGCAGATGCGGATTTAGGGATTAGTGTCGGCCAGGAAGAGAGGAAGGAGGACGGGGAGGGGACTCCCTTAGCAGTTCATCAGGCAGCAGAAAGCTGCGGAGCGACGCTTAGTGGACTGGCCACCACACAGACCTGCAGCACCGAAGTTCACGGAATCGGACCACGTAATCCTCCCTCAGCACCAGCCCCGCCCCTCGCGCCCAGTGCCCCGCCCCTCGCGCCGC